CTGACATATTAGTGGAATTAAATATTTTAATCTCCTGTAAGTGGAAAGTCATCATAATTAACAGACTTAAAGGCTTTAAACCATCATTCTCGGCTGTAATTAATCTATGTTATATGCATCACTTTGCTAATATTTATTTTTTATTTATCGAATATGTTTTGTATCCATTATAATAGTTTTAGCATTAATGCAAATGGGATAAAAATATTTGAATGTTAAATGTTTGAGGGAGAATATAAGGGATCCAGTTAATATAATTTTTAATTAAATAAACACTTGAAACAGCCAATAAATATTATAGCTGTATGTCACACCAAAAGTTAAAAAAATGACTAAAATAAAATGATATGGGAATTTCTGTATATGGACATCTATTTTTAACTTATAGTCTAAAATGTGTATGTTGGATAATTGAAGGATCTTCATGAGGACGTGTCTATTCTGTGTGTGGATGGGTGTCTGCATGTGTGTGTCAGTGGTTGTTTGTCTCATATATCTCCATGCTAACCCAACATCAGGACAATGCAGAATCTGTAGGTCATGCATGCTGAGTTACTGAAACCATTTTAGTCTTAGCTTCTTTAATAAACCTTTATTACTGAAACTGGTTTGCTTAATCTTAAAATATCTGGATCCTGAGAGAAAGAGAGGTGGTTATTTTCTCCTATTGTGAAATCACATCATTGTGTGATTTCAGTTTATTGTGAGCTTCAACCAAGCCTTTAAAACAATACCAACAATAAGACCCAGTGATTAGTAAGTTTAACGATAGAACTGTCTTTACATTTACTGTTAACTTAAAATATGTAGAAAAACCACAAAAAAAGAACATTCAAATTTAATCAATATTTTAAACCAATATTATATTTCTTTGATGGAAACGTTTTACCAGGACATTAATGTAAACTCTTTTATTTTGTAGAAGAAAAAAAACAACATATTTTATAACCTAGATCTGTTACAAATAAGTGCAGCAACTTGTTGATTCGGGGGGGAAATGAAGGAACATTTGCTGTGGTGTCAAAAGTTCACACATTTGTTACTTAAGTAGAAGTATAGATACTGCAGTTTAAAAACACTGGTAAAAGTTGAAGTATCAACTTGACCTCTTTACTCAAGTAAAAGTGAAAAAGTATGTGCTCCAAAAACTACTTAAAGTATAAAAGTATAAAGTAAAAACAGCCAGATGCCACTATATGAATCGAAAGCTCAAATTTTCAACTATTTAGAATAATTCTTTGAGACAGGGCCAAGGATGAGGGAGGTCTTGTTGGTCTCCGTCTCCCGATACGCTCTCGCCTGTGTCCGACCTTTCAGACATTTCAACATCTTTTTCTGAATCCGACATTGTAGCATGGCATAGACAATTCGAGTTTGCAGTTTGAAGAAAACCTGCTTGCTTCTGATGATTTCCTTTAGCTAACCAATGAGTGTTTGTGTTATAGGACTCATCCAATCACACTAGTTTTCACTAGATGTGGATGGCGCCAATGATCTGCATTGGATGCCGCACATGATGTGAAATAAATATTTAGAAACGTTAAACCGAAGCCAAGAGTAACGAGTAACGTTTGTTTTAAAAATGTAAGGAATAGAAAGTACAGATACTTGTGTAAAAATGTAATGAGTAGAAGTCAGAAGTAGGAAAAAAAATAAGAAATGGAGTAAAGTATAGATACCTAAAAAGTTTCAAGTAACGAAGTATTTGTACTTCATGCAGGTATCTCACACCAACTGTGGAGAAAGTTTTAAACTGAGGGCCAGTTTCTCAGTCAGGATAATAAAAAAAATCTAATAATCTCAATAAGCTCAATAATTAGACTTTTAGGAAGAAAAGGATAGGGCTGGGTATTGTTAAAAAAATTTCGGTTCCGGTACCAATACCGATACCTTCACTTCGATACCGGTTCCTGAACGATACTTTTTTCGATACCAGTTTTATAATATCAATTCGAAAAAAAAGAAAATTACACAACATAAAATAGTACAAATCTTGAGTTTTATTTTAAGCTCTGTTTTTCCATTTACATTTTTCCTCTTACATAAAAAAATAAATAATTCAGTGTCTAATATTCACTGTTACATTGTGAGGACCTTTTTACTTAGCAGTTTTCCTTTAGAAAAATTACCATGTCTGACAAACAAGCCCGTTGAATGGGATCCTACTGACAGCGCACCGCTGGTATGGGGGGGGTCTGAGCGGCTCCGACAGAAATATTGAAGGCAGGATGAACTGACTGCACTGATTACGTTTTCAGGTGGATTTTCCCACTTAAAAACATAATAAAACTACTTTATTCCCACTGATCACAGCAAATATAGCTGCAAGGCAAATAAAGGATAGAGTAGCTCCGCCCAACGCGCGTCTGACCCACTTTGCAACCGCGCAGCCAGAGCAGCAAAGCTTCTTCAGCAGCGCGTCAGAAGCTGGTACAAGCAGCAAAAATGAAGCAGCAGACGAGATTTTGCTGCTCTTGCTGCGTCCAGTTTGAAAGCAGCATGATTCACTCCGCTCTGGCTTTGCTCTGCCCACGGGCTGCTGAGAGGAGGATGGTCGCGCTGGCTGCGGTCCGCTCTTCTTGCAGTCAAACACTGAGCGACTTTCTGCTCTTAAATTATTTCCGTGCACGATGTATTGCATTGTGCACTATTAGTAGGGATGGGAATCGAAAACCGGTTCTGAACAGGAACCGGTTCCGTATTTTCCGATTCCATGGCATCGTTTGGCAGCTCGCTGAACGATTCTTTTTTCGATTCCCGCAGCACCAGAGCCTAGAGCGCCGGCTCTGGGGAGCACGACTTACGTCACGTTTTTTTACGTACGTTACGCAAGTTACGCAAGTTGGAAGAACTATTCGAGGAGGAAGACAACGAGCTGCGGTCACTTTGTGAATCAAAGCCCCGTCTTTCCTTAGCCCAGAGGGTAGATCAGGAAATCCAGCTCTATAAAAGCTTGCCCTCCATCCCCTGCAGGGATAGCGCCACACTGTGGTGGTGGAACAAGCAGGATACGCTGCCCTTGCTATCTGACTGGCTGAAAACTACCTCTGTGTGCAGGCTTCCTCCACCCCATCTGAGAGGGTGTCCTCCATGGCTGGAGACACCATAAGCCCTGAAAGATCCCGTATCCTTCCAGAAAAAGCAGATATGCTCATCTTTCTGCAAAATAACTGTTAATTTTCCCTACTACTGTTTTATAATTAGTATTTTTTGTTATTTAAAATAGGTTATTATCCCATCATTTGTTATTAGACATTGTTGGTTATTAAGTTTGTTCTTGTATTAATTTTTCATTTAAACACAGATGTTACTCCAGTTTCACATTTCCTGTGGACATCTTGATCTTGTTGATTTTGTAAGATTGTGCAATAGTTAAGTAAACACAGTTGATGCTGATAATCAAACTGTTTGTTCTCCTTTTTTCCCCAAATTGGAATCGAAAAAAGAATCGATAAAGAATCGAATCGTTTCATAGAATCGAAAAGGGAATCGGAATCGTGAAAATCTTTTCAATTCCCAACCCTAACTATTAGCATCAGTCTTAATAAAGTGAAGCCGCACTTTTGACCTGGGGGGCATTTTAAAGGGGTTCCGCGACGCTGCAACCAGTTCACAAAAGATACACATGAACCCTGGCTGTAGGCGTGACCACCTGTGTATTTTTCCTGGATGACGCAATCACCTTAAGTGTTCCAGCCAATCACCGAAACTTGGTACCGAAAGACGAGGCATGTTTCGATACTCTGTAGAACCGAAGCATTTCGGTCGGTACCATAAAAGTACCGAAGTTCGGTACCCAGCCCTAGAAAAGGACTCTACGCTTGCAGCCAAATCAACACAGAAAATAGTTAAAAGTAAAAAAGAAAATCTTCCACAGCCTGTAATTTCTGACTCAAAATAATTGTGCCTAAACTGGATGATTTTTCTAAGCGAATTAGTAAACCTGAACTAAGAGAATAAACTAAGAGGGCTGGCTGAAAGTATGGAGGCAGATTGGGTTTTTACAGTTTGATTTTTCATGGCCTACTTTATCTTCAATACAGGATCTCCATCAAAACATTGTCATTGCTTACTATTGTCCCTCTATAGTTGATTATAGGTTATCAGGGAACAGGTTGCGCAGCTGCGTGCAAGTCCTGCAACACACACCTGTCTAGTTATTAAGCCTGCATGTCCTGGCAGGACAAAATCTCATGACTAATTGCCATGAGGCAAGAAATATGTGAGCATGTGCAGTTATTTGTGCGCTGTGTTTGACTTTAAAGCTGCTCTCAGATCCACATTTACATACACACTCCAGAGGTATCATCCAGCTGTGAAGGCTGGCCTTCCCAGAAGCCCCAGGGGCACGAGGAAGGGAATGAAATAAGGGGATAAATTATGCTATAGATTTGTGCTTCTGTATAAAAGCTCCCATATCATGCAAGAATGAACCCTAGTTTCAACTCATTTCTTAATAAAATAAAAACATCTCTATGTAAGACGTACAACAAAGAGGAGAAAAAGAGAAAGAGAAATGATCTTCAGCCGTGTTGGTGAGAAAAAGGAGGAGAGTTAGATTTAAAATGGGGGGAGGGAAAATGAGAAAGGAGGTGGAGAAAAAAAAACATCTGATAGAAACTGGGGCAGAGAAAGGGGAAGAGCAGGAGTAGCAGTGTCCTGGACGGGTGGAAAATCTAAGCTGGAGAGGGTTAACAGGGGAAACTGAAGAGGACAAGGCAACGTGGAGAAGTGCAGGAGAGGTTGGAAGACTGGCAGAAAGATTCAGAGAAACTGAGTGAAGAAGAAGGAGAGAAAAGGGCAATCAAAGACGGCTTGTTGTAGGAGGTAAGGAGCTCTGATGGTTTCCATTTAACAGGGATCTGTGGAGCGGAGAGGCTCCTATTTCTGCTCTCCGTCCATTTGTTGCTATATATTTCCTGCATGCAAAGTGTGTGTATGTGTGAGTGTTGAGTTATGTGTGACAGATGAAACGAGGACAGGGGGAGGAGGGAGTGTGTGAGCCAGGATACAAGGGGTAGAAGAGTTTGCTAGACTGGAAGGTCCATATGGACTCTGACAACTCTGAACAGCTTCAGAGCCAGGCTGGTCTTCTTCCTAGTGTAAACTTTGGGGTGCAGATTTCTGGATCTATTAAGAACTTTTGAAAAAAAAAAAAAAGGGAAAAAGGTGGGAATTCTCTTGCCGGGCATGCAAAATCTACAGTTAGAAAATCAGGGGGTAAGTAAAACACCTTTCTGTGTTCAGCCAGAGATAAACCCAGTATGACTGACTTTTAGATATTTACAGATTATTTGCATTGAATATGTTAGAGAAGATGCAAATGAAATGATAAAAGTACAAACATTGTTCTGTTTCTGCATAGAAGATCATGAAAACTGGGTCGTTCCCCTGGGCGGGGGATTCAACCTCATGACACAAGTTGTGTTGATAATGGCAGTTTGGCAAGGAAAACTATTTTAGGAGGAAATTCAAAAGATTTTATGAGAGAAACCAACAAAGGATCGTAGCACATATAGAATGGAGAATATTTTACTTTTTTTCTGCTCCTTGTGAAGTGCAGTTCTTCTACTGTAAGGCTGCAGAATAACTCCAGGAAACTTTGCTGAAGGGTTTCATGTAATTCCTAGAGGAAGGCGAAGGGCAGATCTCCACGACCCTTAAGTTCTTCTGAGAACTGTTGAATACCCAGAGGAGAACCGACCAGCGTGGGGAAAAGATTCAGGAAATGAAGGTCAGGGGTTAAAAGGAAGCCTGCTCATTACTTCTACGGCCTCCTGCAGACATCTGAATTGTGTAACCCCCACAACAGCAGAGCCAAGGCAGGGAAGACTGGGCCATGACAGTGTCCTTTCATTAGAGCATGTGATGTCCCGCAATGAACAGGCGAGACGTGGAGGAAAATCATTGGATCTAATTGAGTGCCTGAAGAGAAGGAAAAACTGGGAAGAATTGAGGTTTCTATCTGGGTGGAGTTCACTTCAGAGTAACTGTGGGTTAGAAACACCAGAAGGCATAACGGCCGTTTGCTCTGATATTAAACTAAAGGTTCTGGTTTCTCATGCGAATTAAGTAATAGTCAGAGGCAACGTCACAAGACTGTCCTGTTCTTTGAAACAGCCTTCTGTATCGTCGACAGAAACAGGACAAGAACACAAATAATGGCATTTAAAGAACACGTGTCTGGACATGCAGTTTAACATGCAAAATACCATTTTACTTGATTACTTATGCAAGGATGTTTGCAAGGAAGCTCTGACTGCGTGGCTTTTAGCCAGCTCTTGGAAAAGTGAACAAGACCTACACCTTAGGTGTAGGTCATTAGTTGTGCTCCACATCCACTAAGTGCCATGCAATGAATACATGTGACTGCATCCCCTGAGTCATTTTATGGTGTGTCCTGTTGGTTCTGGGATAATTTCAACAGTCTACTCGGTCACTGTAACATTACGGCAAGCTGATGGTATTCATTTTTGGCTAAAGATCAGGCTTGTTTCCAGTGCATCTTCTCAGGGTTGACCTCTTGTCTTTGGTCGGGTTTGAGCTGTTTATAGACAGGGTTTTCTGTCTGGTTTGGCAACTTGTCCATCATGACCATTGCATTCCTGTTTCCAAGCTCTCCTTAACATGAAGCCATAGGTCTGAACTGGAAAAAGGTGGAAATCTTGGGTAGCGTTCATGACTGATGTCAAATGTATCAACAGTTAGAAAGGAGGAGCGTGGGTTTGTCTGCAAAGATTACGTCACTGCTTAAGCTCAGAGCCAAATAGGTCCAACAGGCTGACATATTTCTGCATTGCCTTGCAAGAATACTGTGACATTAGCAATCAAGTGTGACACCAAAATGAGCCAGAGCTACTTAGACTTAGACAACTGTTATTGTCATTTTGTATACACAAAATGACAATAACAGTTGTCTAATTTCTTTTTCTACAGCTTTAATGACATTTTCATTTTTTTAAGTACAGCAGTTATCAATGTAAACAGTGTAGGAGAAAAAACATGGTGCAAGTGGTTGCTAATCTAATGTAGCAACAATGATCCAATAGGAAAAGCCTGATAGAGCAGGAGATAACGGTCAACAGTTACCAGGGCAACCTTTTGAATTGGGTGACATCACTTAGTTAAAACAATTAAAGAAGAGTCAGAAATCAAGAACAGGACTGAGGATAGGCCACTTTCATTAGCTTGGGACCAGTGATGTGGACCAATTGTTGAACAATGCACGCTAATGAAGCTAAAACGTGCTAAATTGCCCCCTTAGGAGGAAAGAAAACACATTGCTAAAGGAACAAAGAAGCTAAGCTGCTACCTAGGGGGTTAAAAGGCTTTATATTCTCCTTTAGTATGTAGTTTAAAAAATGCAAGGTTAACTAAAGGACCAATGGGTTGTTTTTAGGTCTGTTTATAGAATAAAAACTTTAATGAGACTGATGGATGTGCACACCAGCTGCAAAACATGCACTTTTCACTGCCGTTTCAATTGAATCTAACTTCTTTACCTTTAAGCTTTCAAACATGCTGTAAATTCTCCATATAGCAGCAAAAAATACTAATGTTTGTGTGTGTTTTTGTAAAGAACACAACCTCACCCTACAACTGTAAATAAGCGACTGTGAAATATGGGATTAGCTTTTAGTCATAGTCCAAATGTATTTTCGGATGGCTCATGTTGCAAAGCTGGGAATGCTGGGAGCGTACAACTCTTTCTTTCTGTAGTCGTCTGGTCTCATTATTAACAGCCTCTTTTTACCGTAAAGCCTGCCTTCGGGTTCAAATTTACAAAGCAAATCAACTTCCAGCTGTGGTTCCAGCTTTTTATTGGTCACCCAGATCCTCCTTCATACCATTCAGGAACTGACATGTGTTACAGCAGCTGCGGTTCCTCTTATCAGTCCTGGTGGGGAGCAGCAGTCTGTGAGCTAGATGTCCAAACTGCTTCCCTGGTGCAATGACAAATGGAGTTACAACTGTTTGCTTTGACTGGTTATGTGATATGAAGCTCAGGACATGTGTGTAAAAAGTGTTATAGCAAGGCAGAATGGTATGGCAAATATTTTGGGTATGTGCTTCTTTTGTGCTCCATTTGACTAATCTGTGTTCCACACAGATAACATAATAATGGGATTTACATCTGATTAGCTGGAAATTTTTAAACTTTTTAGATACAAAGTTTTCCTTATAGTTTATGGAGAAAAATAGGGAGACTAGGGCCACACTGACAAGGGGCAAATTACTGCACCACCTACAAATGAAGTTAGTTTACTATTTCAAATTTGTATGATTTCACAGCAAAAATTGGGATATAAATAAGGCATTTTTTTTTTAAATAATGCATTTCCCCATGATTTGAGCATGTAGGCTAAGCGTGACAATTTGCCAATGGAATAAGTAGATTTATGTGTAAAATAAGAAGAAAAAAGTCTATTACCTTAGAGCATAATATTTTTTTTCTGTAACTCATTATAAGGATAGAAATCCTCATTCCATTGATGGTTAATCTTCTTAACCTGCACAAATTAAGGGCATATTTTAGACATTTTTACTTATCTTCACATCAGTTTTGGAAGTTATGAAGGTGAAATTGTTAACAAGCAGCTGGTATGCTCATGAATATTTAACTGACAGCAACTACCTATGTTAACCAGTAGATGTTGAAATATGCTACTTATGTATACATATATATTGACTTAATTTATGCTGCGAAGTTTTGAGCTGTTATGGATGATGGTTGATTTCAAAGTTACAGATATAATATGCAATTGCTTACCATACAGATTTAAAGCTACATTTTAAATGTTAGAAAATGTAAAAAAAAAACTATGATCAAAATAAATAAAAAACCATAATAAACAAAATTTTAACCAGAACATTCAAGTAGCTGTCCTTAAATCTACCATCTTTTTTTTTTTTTTTTTACAGGTAATTAGAATATTTGATGCATATCCTTTAATCATGTTCCTGTGTGTGCAGTAAAGCTTTTATTTTGCATGTTAAGGTTTATAGTGTGTCAGTTCGCAAAGTAGGAAGACAGTCAAATCTAATCAGAGATGCTTTGCTTTCTCAAGGAACACGATGTCAACATCGTCAACAGAAAACGATCCTGAGGATGTCAACCATCGCAGCTTCTGGATGGTATGTGCTCCACTTCTGCTTTTGAGCGTGTTAGTGAAAAAACAGAGAGGTATGGCTTTCCTCCCTCAGTCTGAAGGCCACGTTACTTCCAGTCAAAACAGAGTGAATAGTTGTGTTGCTCAGGGTGCAGACCTTCAGAAATCAGGCTTTACTTTCAGTTTGAAATGTCAGCAGTAACTGCTGGGCATCCAGCCAGTAGTTAATGCCCTGTTCCGATCTAAAACCTCTGCAAAAGTTTTTGCATGATGCTTTTTGGCTCATTTAGTATTTATTTTGGCGAGGTTTCTGTCACCAGTGTTAGGGCTTACCTTCAGAAAATCTGCATATTTGAAGTTTCATTTTCTGTTCTTCCTATCAGAAAAAATGGAAGTTACAGGTTTGAACTAGTTGATTAGATGATGAAAGGCTGTGGAAAAAGGCTCACCACCCTCATAGCTTTCTGTTGTTTCCCAATTTTTATCACACTTCACTATTAGGTAACATTTAATGTTAGAAAAACATGACTTGTTCTGTTAAAATGTTAATCCACAAAGGAAAAAAAAATAGCCAAGGTTGTCACGTGAAAAAGTCACAGTTGCGTAAATCATAAATTAACTTTTATCAACCAGATTTTCTAGCTCCACAGCCAGGGCTGATTACTGCAGGATCCATAGAATCAATAAATAACAGAAGAAATTATGAAACTATTCTGCAGAAAAGAGTGAGGCAAGATTTCTCCACAGTGACGCAAAACATGTATTACCAGTTAATACATTAGCTTGATAGCTGCTGTTCCTGCCAAGGGTGACATGACCGCTTACATGATTTAAGTTACTTTTCCACATTGGTTCAAGTCATAATCTGAGACAATAAGAAGAAAAATATATAAATCTCTAAAAGGAAACAGCTCAGTGTGTCTGTAATTTGTGCCCTTTTTAAAGTTTCAGCTGAGAGTGGCTAAAAGTCGAACACGCAGGCAGGTGTCCCGTTGCTTTACTGGGATGACTTGGCTGCCCCACTTTGATCTCTTTCCTCCTGTAATTTAGGGCGCCTCCTGGCGTATTTTTGTGTTTCCATACCTCTTCCTGTCTGTGTCATCCTGCTGCCACACTCAAGGGCTGGCTGCCATTACTCTGAACACTTGGGCTCCTGTTTCACACTTGCAAAGTCACTCTACTTAAAATGGGTTTGGAGAGCATTTAGTGAGATGACGACAAGTCTCTTATTGCTACTTTTATGTGGAGCATGAACCACAACAGTTTTTGGCATGTATTTCATTGATTGTCCATGAATTTTTGAAATATTACTCAATATTAACCAATGTATCCTGTGTGAGAGTGTCATGTTCAGTGTTGGGCACATTACTTTGAAAAAGTAATTAGCTATAGTTACTAGTTACTTCTCCCAAAAAGTAACTGAGTTACTCCACAATAAAAGTAACAAGTTAGTAGTAAAAGTAACTATTGCGTTACTTTTGCGAGTGTATGAAATTAATAACTGGGGATGTCTAATTCTGAAATTGTTTGGGTTGTTATAGATACTGCAACATGTAGCTATATCCATCTATCTATTCCATCCATCCATCCATCCATCCATCCATCCATCCATCCATCCATCCATCCATCCATCCATCCATCCATCCATCCATCCATATTTCTTCCTTTCTCCATATAGGCTAATGATCGTTCACGCTCTCCGTAGTTCCCCTGTGGCGCGAGCACAGGGCGACTGCTGCGCGCCTTTAGCGAGCATGCGCGCTTCCTGTCGCTTGCGCGGTGAATCGTGCCTCCGCGCTGTGCGGAGACGCAGGGGAAACCGTATCTGATGGGGAAACGCAGCTCGACGTAACACCAGTATTTCCATCTGGAAAGCGCTGTTTTGCCGCTGGAGTCCTCCTCACTCTCCATCCTCCCCTCTCTCATGACGCTTGCACGAGTCCTATCATAAGAAAAGGTTAATTGTGCGACCTGAGTAACGTGCAGTAACGGGGTGTCGGCAATTGTAACTGCATTATAGTTACAGTAAGAGTAATCATTTTGATTACTCTTTACTAAAAAAGGTAGCGGCGTTAGTAACGCCGTTACTTTCAACGCCGTTACTCCCATCACTGGTCATGTTTATTGAATGTCGGGAAGAACCCAAATGACAACAGCATTAAGGCAGACACATGATGGAGATCTTATTTGATGACGAAAAAGAACATTTAGAAAAGAAGGGAAAAACAAAGACAGGGGAACCTAAGTGAGAAGTACAAACAGCTGTGGCTAAGGTCCCAAAGATGATTAAAGACAATTCAGATTGATTAAAAAGATAGTGAAATTGCCCCTTTAAATCAGCAGTGTATTCTTTAGTGTTACTGCATAGCTGCATGTAAAGACATGATTCCTAACATGCATACAATATTAATTGACTGGAGAATTAAAAAAGGACTAAAAACCAACCATTTCTTTTTTGAATGGTCATAGCCCTCCTACAATTATTGCTGCCCTGGGCGGTGAGCCATTTTGCCCATGTAAACAAAACAAAAAAAACTACCAGTTACTCCAACAAGAAAACCACTCTCATATGATTAGTTTAATATATATATATATGCTTTTCTGATCTACGGACCACATAAAAATGCTCTAAGTGGAAACTTTTGGCAGATTAAGCTGCCTATGAATATAAAAGGAGTGCCGATTATTTTTATCATCACAAGTGAGATTATCAAAGATAACACAGAGGAAGTGTTTCACAAGATTTCACAAGAGCAATTATTCATTTGCTGACTATTTATTTCTGAGTCAGAGAGTTTCTTTGGACATTAGATTTATTATTTCTCTTACTTAAATGTCTTTAAAAAAAAAATCACGACGTTGAAAGTCTAAAGCAAACTTTGATCCTCAACCCTCAGAAAACATTTGGACTTTACTGAAGAAACCAGGGGTGGTTTAAAATTGTTGCTCAACAGTCTTCAGATATTGTATTTAGGCTTGTGTCAAACTTTTGATCACCTATTAGTCTATGTTTATCAGTCATGTTTAAGACAGGAATCATTTTTTAATCACAAATGTAATAGTGCATCTTAAGACAAGTAGAGTATAAACCTACAGCTCTCTATTGCTGCAGAAATAAATCCCCCAATTTTATAATGAAAAAAAAACTCACACTTCTCAAATAGTATTTAAAAGAAACTGCACCTTAAGTTTAAATGTTGTATATTATAAAAAAAAAAAAAACATACTTTTGACTCCCATGGCCACATTTCTTTATACCTCCAAGTTGACTGTACAAGTAAAGTTAGATCTGCCTCAAAGATCGGCCAGCGCTGCTGTTGGCCTCAAACCGGATTCCTCAGCTGTTTTTGCTTAATTCAGAGACAAGAAAAAGAAGAGTCGCTGGAAACCACAACAGACGCAGAGAAAAAGAAAGGATAAAGGAGGAGAGGGAGGGAGAGAGGGGGGGTCAAGGAGGGCATGAATGCAACAGACACCAAATGGTTCTAATTAGGGCATAAAAAGCAGTATATTATCTAATTAAAAAAACACAATGGGTGCTCACATGCCTTATAAAGCTTTGGCATTAATTCTAACATATCGCAGAATGTAGCTGGAAATAACAAGACTAACAAATGATCTAAGTGATATGCTTGACATAGAGTATAAAATACAGTTAAGTAGGATTAGTGAGGGTTTAAGTCTTTAAAAATAAAGATATCTAAGTAAATAAAGGAGTGCTCCGCCGTCTTTGATAAAATCCACTTCTTTGCAGAAAGAATTGTTTACATTCCTGGAACACAATATGAGCTCTACTATAAGCTGTCGGCCTATGTGTGTGTGCGCCAGGCCAGCGTGTACAGCTCCACTAACAGGCGCTCTATCATTGGTGTGATTAGGAACATCTGTTTGAGCACCGTAACAGTCAGCTTTGAGAGGAGCCCACTTACATGTACTACCCGTTGGTAGCTACGTGAAGTGGTCTGCCTCGAATGATTTAACAAACAGTGACAACAGGCGGTTTGAGGTGTCTTTTAACCAGCTGTCTACTCATGTCAGGTTCTAAAGGAGTCTGACAGAAAGGGAAGAGCAGCTTCAGAGCTGAAGCTGACGGCGGCTGCCAGGAAAATAGCAGATATTTCCAAATTCCACATCTACAAACAACAGACTGACTGCGGATATGTTACTGCTCTCATAGCTTTGCCTGGACAGCCTACTTGTCCTCAATCTTTGCCTCAAATGGCCACCAATCACACTGTTTAGTTTCAGTTTACCGCAGGAAGAAATGCATCTTCATAAGAGAGATGTAACAGTATTTAATGTAAATTTATGGAGAATAACTCTTTGCAAAAGTTTTTATTTTTATTTTAAAAAGGTCTTAGCATTCCACATTTAGGTTAAACAACTTTAACTCTGGTTGTCAGAGTAACGTCTTGGACAGGTTTCCAGTCCATCAAAGGAAACCCAAGGGATGCACCGAACAACATGTGATCATACTGGAAAGCAATTTAGAGTAACAAATGAATCCAACAGTCAGTTTTTTGGACTCTGGGAAAAAGTTGGATTATTCCAAGGATTGGGGGAAAACTTGCAAGCTTCATGCAGAGAGATCCCATATTTAAACCCCTTTCCTTCAAGGCATCAGTCATGTGAAACCATTGGTCCAGTATCTTATCTCATCCTAGTTTGGCTTATTTTACCTTGGCATGCTTTATTAGTTCTAGCTTAGCTTATTTAGCTTAACTATTAATCGTAACTTTTGGTTTGGTTCATTATTTTGGTTTAACTTTTTTTCTTTTTTTTTTAACTGTCTGGCGATGTGGCAAAAAGAATAATTATCTTGATGCCAAAAAAAGAGCCCAACAGATTTTGCTTTCCCAAGTGGAGCAGTACAGCTATCGCCATAGTGTTTTACACTTGATTTATGCATATAAATAGCTTTATTATAAATCATACAGGGAGTATTACAGATTTTATGGACACTGCAATATACGTAGAATAGCAAAGAAAAAAAGAAAAAAAGGAGAAAAGATGAAAGACAGAGATTAAAGGGAGATAACAATAAAACATCTTTAGTCTGGTTCATCACCTGCAAAGAGATGTAAAAAGAACAGCAAAACCAACGGATACAGTATAAGAGATACAATAAAGTAACACCTTGATACTAAAGCTGAAGTATACAGGTGCTGGTCATAAAATTAGAATATCATGAAAAAGTAGATTGATTTCAGTAATTCCATTTAAAAAGTGAAACTTGTATATTATATTCATACATTACATACAAACTCATATATTTCAGATGTTTATTTTGTTTAATTTTGATGATTACAAATGACAACAAATGAAAATCTCAAATTCATCATATCAGAAAATTAGAATATTACTGAAGACCAATAAAAACAAAGGATTTATAGAAATGTTGGCCAACTGAAAAGTATGAACATGAAAAGTATGAGCATGTACAGCACTCAGTATTTAGTTGGGCCTCCTTTGGCCTGTATTACTGCAGCAATGCGGCGTGGCATGGAGTCGATCAGTCTGTGGCACTGCTCAGGTGTTATGATAGCCCAGGTTGCTCTAATAGTGGCTTTTAGCTCTTCTGAATTGTTGGGTCTGGTGTATTGCATCTTCTTCTTCACAATACCCCATAGATTTTCTATGGGGTTAAGGTCAGGAGAGTTTGCTGGCCAATTAAGAACAGGGATACCATGGTCCTTCAACCAGGTACTGGTAGCTTTGGCACTGTGTGCAGGTGCCAAGTCCTGTTGGAAAATGAAATCTGCATCTCCAAAAAGTTGGTCAGCTGCAGGAAGCATGAAGTGCTCTAAAACTTCATGGTATGTGGCTGCGTTGACCCTGGACCTCAGAAAACACAATGGACCAACACCAGCAGATGACATGGCACCCCAAACCATCACTGACTGTGGAAACTTTACACTGGACTTCAAGCAACGTGGATGAAGTGCCTCTCTTCTTTTCCTCCAGACTCTGGGACCTTGATTTCCAAAGGAAATGCAAAATTTACTTTCATCAGAGAACATGACTTTGGACCACTCACCAGCAGTCCAGTCCTGTTTCTCTTTAGCCCAGGCAAGACGCTTCTGACGCTGTCTGTGGTTCAAGAGTGGCTTGACACAAGGAATGCGACAGCAGAAACCCATGTCTTTCATACGTCTGTGTGTGGTGGTTCTTGAAGCACTCACTCCAGCTGCAGTCCACTCTTTGTGAATCTCCCCCACATTTTTGAATGGGTTTTGTTTCACAATCCTCTCCAGGGTGCGGTTATCTCTCTTGCTTGTACACTTTTTTCGACCACATCTTTTCCTTCCCTTCGCCTCTCTATTAATGTGCTTGGACACTGAGCTCTGTGAACAGCCAGCCTCTTTAGCGATGACCTTTTGTGTCTTGCCCTCCTTGTGCAAGGTGTCGATGGTCGTCTTTTGGACAACTGTCAAGTCAGCAGTCTTCCCCATGATTGTGTAGCCTATAGAACTAGACTGAAAGACCATTTAAAGGCTTTTGCAGGTGGTTTGAGTTAATTAGCTGATTAGAGTGTGGCACCAGGGGCCATCAATTTTGAACCTTTTCACAATATTCTAATTTTCTGATATGATGAATTTGAGATTTTCATTTGTTGTCATTTGTAATCATCAAAATTAAACAAAATAAACATCTGAAATATATGAGTTTGTATGTAATGTATGAATATAATATACAAGTTTCACTTTTTAAATGGAATTACTGAAATCAATCTACTTTTTCATGATATTCTAATCTTATGACCAGCACCTGTAAGTGGTATTATTTAATCTGGCATGCATACTGTGGTAGCTGAAGATAAGAATATGTATGTATATATTTTGGTTTAACTTACTTATGTTTTATTTTTATTTAAATCTACTCTATCTTGCCTTCAATTAGTAGAAAATTGAAGCTTATTTCAATGATATTTATTCTTTTATATTAGCTTTAAATAATCAATGAGGAGGCAGCAACTATTGTAGCTCATTATAGTAAAATAAAATAGTCCTTTTGGCCTAGTCTGACTTTTACAGATAGGTGTTTACATCCATTCAACTAACCAGTTTTCTCCCCATTTGCATCGTGACAGCCTGGGAACTATCATCGTACTGTGAAGCGCACAGAAGATGCCTTCCAGGCCTGTAACGACATCGTGACGTGTTTCCAGGAAAGAGCCCGTGTGGAGAGGCAGTACGCCCTGCAGCTCAACGAATGGCACACCAAATGGAAACCAGTTGTGGACTCAAGTTAGTAAACTCTCTGTAATATAAACAGGGAACGTATAAACAATGAGCACAACATCTAAAAACATTAAATTTCTTCCCACCCCTCCATCAGGTCCTCTCTATGGGTCTCTTTTAAAGGCTTGGCAGTGTTTTCTGTCCTCTGCTGACCGGCTTGCCTCTTTACATGCCTCCATCTGTCGCTCCCTGGTATCGGAAGATGCAGACCGGGTCAGAACCTGGCAGAAGGACACTTTTCACAAGAAGTTATTTGGAGGCTTCAAGGAATCCCAGGATATTGAGACAGGGTTTGCACGGGCTCAGAAGCCCTGGGCAAAACGGCTTAAAAAGGTAATATTACTGTAATTCTAATACACAATTATGCCTAATTTGCAATGAACAATAATTAATGTTCTCCATAAAAAGCATGCTTCAATCATTTCGTTCAGGTTTAATTCATTAAATTGGAATAAAATAATTGCTTTAATTAAGCTACTTGCTTATGTGATGTCATAAATAATACTTATGTGTCTATTTGCTCTGAAAATCACTATAATCCTTTCTGAGCTTGTGAGATTGGCCTCTTATAAAAAGTTGGCCTTTGCAATATCAACACTATAATTAAAACATCCAAGGGGGTGTAAATTTTGTTGCACTTGAACTTATGTGATTATGCAGATAGCAGAGTGTATTTATGTATTAATTAAATCTTAAATGGTGTATTTTTCTCTTTTAGTGGGCAGGAGGGCATTTAACGCAGCCTTTCTACAGATTTTTCCTTCTCTCTTTATTTATTCTTGTTTTATATCAGTGTAGACATTAGCCTGTGCTAGAGATGGGACATTCTTTAAAAATATATATATATTTTAACTTTTATTATTAACTAATGTTGTCCAAGTAAACAGTTTAGAAATACTCCAAGCTTTACAGAAACATAAAAGAACCAACAGCTTTTTTCTGTTTATCCTGAGACTTCATCCCTCTCAGTATTAATAGACCAGTCCTTGGTTAATGTTTACAGTATCTGAGCTGATACTGTAAGCAAATGTAGTCTCATCCAGAGTAAATAACTGCTTTACAGATAATTTAGGTTTCGTTTAGAGGAAGATATCCTCTAATCAGAAAGCTTAGATTTAGATTTCGGGCCTATAATTTAAGACACTTTTCTTTGGGTTTTAAACCCTAGATAAAATCATATAAAGGCATAATAGATGAGCTAAAAAAATAAGCTCCAGATTAGACGTTCCTTTTTTCACATATCAATGCTGTGCTTTATGCTGATAAAATTATGTGGGATAATTTTGAGCAATAAAAAGTGGTTCTAGGTGGGTTCCCCATCTTAAAAAGTGTCAAACCCACTTAATATTAATCTAGATTAAGACCCTTATGGGGTCCTCATATATGTGATGGCAATAATAAGAATAGAGGACAGTGTCATCGGCCAAATGACAGACATTTCTCTTGATGATTTTGCCAAAGCAAGCAGAACCAGGACACGTCCAAAGCCTTGAGCAACGTAAACCCAGATGATACACGAAGAACAAGAAAAGCAATTAGAATTTATCAGCCTGCCTTCGAGCAATCGTTTCTCAAAAGGCATTAGTCACACTAAACTGTTCCGGGGAGATTTGCAACCTCAATCAATCTTGCTGCACATCAAAAAAGATAATTCAACTGAATGTCTTTGTTAAGATTTCTCTTGTTAAAATTACTGCCAAAATCCAGCACTGATAAAACTTCTTTAGAATTAGACTTAGTCTTAGACAACTTTTATTGTCTTTTTTTTTATACAGAGTATAGAAAACGAAATAACTTTTTGTACAGCTTTCAGAACATTTCAATTCCATAAAGTGCAGCAGTCATCTATGATTTCTTCAAATTAAACACATTTGAATCCTTTTCCAGTCCAATTAAATTAAAGCTGCCTAAAGTACAGTTGTTCTAATATTATCCAAACATAATTTATGTAAAATATGTTTACACATGAATTAAAAGGAGTCTGACAAAGTTGTGTTTATTTGATTAAACATTTGACATCTAGATTTTTCTATTTAGCCCAAAAAGGACCAGAATACGCTCTATTTTGGAATAGTAGTTTTCTTTAAATATGATAAAAAAGTAGGACCTCATTTAAACCTATAAAACAATCCCGCCAAAACAAATGTGTGATTTATTTTTTTTTTTTCAGTTGGACAAAGCTAGAAGAGTGTACCATAAGGTGAGCCGTAAGGAGCATGCTGTTAAGGAGAGAGACTTGCATGCTCAGGGAAACCCAGATGTGTCTATTGACAAACAGAAGAAGATCCAAGAGGAGAGAGAACTGGCTCAGCAGGAGGCTGAGAAGGTGGGTAACTTTTTTTGGCTGCAAATGGTGTTTAAAATGTGATCCATCCCCATCTTCAAAAAGACCGAAACAGACATACAGAAAGAAGCAGAAATATAAAAAGGCAACTTTAAACCAGCTTCACAGGTGGCTCTTTCCAGGAAACACTAAGCCAGGCAATGATATGTGCATATCATTGTTTGAACAGGTAATAAAAGGCACCTTTAGGCATCTGTACATTATAACTAAGTATGAGTTAGAATTTTGAAAGGTCCAAAACTCACTTCCTTATATCCTGGCCTGTTGATTTTTCAAACACATAAGGAACACGGAACTTTAAGGAGTTGCTTTAAAATGCTTTCATAGGTGTATCTTTATTTAAGGCTGATGTTTTCCCCTTTCCCTGGGCTTTTCCAAAATTGTTGATTTGCCAAAAGAAATATCATTATTATTCCAACAAATAACTTAAATGACTAAAATACCTGATAATACCAACTGATCTAAAACATACAAAAGTTCCATCTTAATATCAGATAGTGGGGAAAAATGCTCCTGTGTCTTTCCATAATTGTTGACAGTATCTAGCTTTGCTCATAACAGTTTATTTGCTATGCTGGAAAAAATAGAAAGTAAAAAATTATGCAGCTAAAAACAAATAAAATGACCTGCAGAGAGCCTTGATAACTACGGATCAAAATGACTTCCCTGGACGATGATATAAGGATGAGTGTGGTGGTTTATATCTTTTGCATTCTGCTGTATCTAGTTTTGAAATCAGTCGAATGTTACAGAAAGGAGCCTGACACCACCCAGCTGCTCTGATTCTGCAGGTCCGTATTCGCTATGAGAAGGTCCTGGAGGAGGTGAACAAATATGTTCCCCGTTACATGGAGGAGATGGAGTCAGTTTTTGACCAATCCCAGGACGAGGAGAGAAAGAGGATTATGTTTCTCAAAGAGGCCTTCCTCTCCATCCACAAACACCTGGACATCACCAACAATGAGTGGTGAGCTGCAGCATTCTGCTTGTAAAGCTATCAGCGCATGATTAAAAAGATCAGATGATGAGTTCTTTGCCTTGTTTCAGTCCAGCTTGTTCTGGGCTGTGTGGCTTTAGATTAATGAATCATCTTATTTTCAACCCTAAAATTGTTCCACTCTGTATTAATCCATAAGTGTTTCTAAGAGACTCACTTCAAGGTATTAATGTTTAATATTAAAGTCATAGATAATACATTCATTTAATTACTCTTTAAAGATCTACCATACAGTAGCTGCAGGGTTGGAACAGTGGAGATGAGAGATATTACATCGTCTTAGTGCTTTTTAATTTGCGACAGTTCTTTACTGAGATGTACTACTTTTCTTCCCTTCTTGCCACTTAGTGCGTGGGGCGTGTACAATGAGCTCCATAACACCCTGATGGGGATCGATGAGCAAGAAGACCTTCGCTGGTGGAAGAACACTCATGGACCTGGCATGCCCACCGACTGGCCTCACTTTCAGGTGTTTGCTTTCTTCCATCATTCATGTCTTTTAGGCTAAAGTTTAGTTCTGTGCTTTTAAACATTAATTTATGCAATTCTTTTGAAGGAATTTTCACCTGAGAAGAAAGCCAAAAAGGAGAAAAAGGAGGTGGAAAAGCAGGAGGTGGAAAAGAAAGGAACGATAGAGAAGAGGTTAGTGGATCTGTACTTATTTATATACCCTCATTATTGATATAGACAAATATATAAAGTATAATACAGGCTGAATTTAAAGCTGGAAATGATAAAAGACTCTCCCAGACTCCTGTAAACATGCCTCTTCCTATTGAGGTAAATATTTTTGTCTTATTTGAACAAAACCTGGCTACATTCAGTGCAGATTCTCAGATTGGTGAAGGCAGTTCCAGCAAATAAGAGTCAGAATATATTAGAGCCTTCATGAATTTTTCATACCGTCTGCAAATAAGAGAAAAACAACACTGGGTTTAGACTCATGCACCCAATGAGAAATGAGTCATAGGCCAAGCATTGTGATGCCTATATGGTCTGCTAATTTAATTCCTGACAGGAGAGGACTTTTCTGTGTCCTTATGACCTCCGTCCTGAAATTGATCTCAGTGTATAATCTAGAGAGGTGTTTTAGAGAGGAGAGAAGAACAAGAAGGATTTCAGGCGTATCGACTTTTTCCAGCATTTATGACATGCAGAGGGGGAGTAAATGTCAATAAAAACAATGAATTCTCGTCTGGCAGAGACAGAAACACATCAGAAGGGGGAAAGAAAACAATAGACAGTTAATCAAGTTATGCACAAATGTTACACTTCAACTTTTCCTTTTTTCTTTATTTTCTCATTTGGGAGAAATGGGACACAAGGAAAAGGTTGTAGGATGGAACTGAGGCCCAGAAACCTCTGAAATGTCAGCTGTCAACTAAATTTATTTCTACATCCTACTGACGGCACACACTGCAGTAGACTGAGTATCCAAGAAGTGCCTCATGGACATTTTCTTCTGAGTGACATAAAAAAAATCCTTTAATCTTCCAGAATTTCCCTGAATAAATCTGATCAATACAAAAATAATTGTTTTGATAAGACTTACATTACATTAATTAAATGAGAGGGTGAGTGAACTCTCCTTTTGCTTCATTTGTTTATTTTTGATTCTGAACTTCTTTGTCTTTTCCTCCTGTTTTTCTTAGTGTGATGATTGGAGGAGTGAGAGTGAGAGCTCTGTACGATTACGTTGGTCAGGAGACAGATGAGCTCTCCTTTAAAGCAGGTAAATACACACTAATGCAAAAACATACACAGCACTATTGTGCGTAGCATTTATTAGCAACATTCTTGATTAATGTTATTTACTAGCCAACCCTCAAAGTGTTTAGTTAGGCGGAGTGGTGGCCTAGTGGTTAGGGCATAGAGTTTGGAATCCTGAAGTTCTGAGTTTGAGCCCCACTCCCACAGACTGACACTTTGGCTCTCTGAGCAAGACCCCTGATTGCTCCCTGGACGGGCGCCCCACGATGGCAGCCCACTGCTCCCCTAGGGGATGGATTGGATTGGATTCTTTATTTCGAACATGCAAGAGAAAAAACAAACAAACAAAAAAACAATAAAACAATATTTAAAAACATTGGAGAGAAAAACAACAAACAAGGTACCCTTCTTTCCTGAGTTAACAAACCTCTATTACATGTGCGAAAAGGAGTAGAAAGAAGTAAAACGTTTGTGCTTCTACCCCTTTAATTGTTGTATTTCTTCAATTTACAACATTTATAATTATGTTGCTATATATATCCATATAAATACATACCTACCTACACATATAAATACATAAATATGTATACACATATACCTTCATACATATATACAAAAAACAAAACTTTCTACAATGCTTCTCTATACCTTTTGAAAATAATTTCTTTGTACATTTTTTTTTAAAAGGAATATGTTTGGGCATTGCTTTTGGTTCTCATTTAGTTTGTTCCACAATTTAACTCTGCAAATTGATAAACATAATATTTGGGTTAAATGCAGAGGTAACTTCCTCCAATGTGAGATCAATAAAGTTCAGTTATTATTATAAGTAGTGTTGCGCCAATGCCATTTTTTGGCCCCGATACCCAATACCTGGCTGTGCAGTATCGGTCGATACCGATACCATAATAATGTAAAATAATTGCCATCATGGCTTTGTCAAGCTGCTGCCTACCTTTGTGAAGCAGGAAAAAATATAATACAAAGTGAATCCAGTAGAACTTTTTATTGCCTACCAGGAGTGGGTGACAATAGTTGAATTAACTTATGGCTTTCAAAATGGTATCGGTGCCCTATTTGTTGGTACTCGCCGATACCGATACCACTATTTTAGGGCAGTATCGGGGCCCCGTCCGATACTGGTATCGGTATCAGTGCAACACTAATTATAAGTGTTAAGGTAAGGCTCTAAGTTAACCCAACAGTAAATAGAAGATAAAAATGTTCCCAATTATTAGTTTAATTTGAGAAATATTAAATAATTTCTAGGTCAGAATTAGAATAACTGAGTGGTTCTTCCTTTAAAACTGTAAAATGACATTCCTATGGTTTATTCTGTCCTTCATTGACTGATCATGGCTGCAGGTAGAAAAGATATGGCTGCTAATTATCAATGATGCTCGATTTAAAAGGTGGCAAGAAAAAGATCGACACAATATGATGACTATTTATACCAAACTCCAGCCCATGGCTTTCTGCCGCTGGTTCTTCCCGTGTTTGAGCTTCTAGGGAAGTGGAAATGTGTTTACAACTATGATACTGAGATGCACCAAAGAAGCTAAAAACAACATTTTCACAGGGATTTTCACGCAGCACATAATTGGGAGCATTCTACATAATTTCTAGTTTAGTTGGCAGATGAAAGACATTTCTGTAAACAGCCTCTTATCTCTTCTAGCAGTATTAATTAAACAGAAGCTAGAAGCTCCTCAGAATCCCTCTAAGACAATGCAAAGGTAATCCAAAGGCTGATTAAAAACAAAAAACAAAAAAAAACAGTGTTTTTATAAAAGGGAGCCTTAAAATGCTTCTATGTCAACATTTTTCCATCTGTGGGCTTGAAGTTTTTTATTACAGTAGAAAAAGCCCAGCATTCATTTGTTTCGAATCAGGTAGAATAAGCAGCCCAGAATGTCGATGAGTAAAAGGACTCGTCCTCTCTGCAGGTGAGGAGTTTTTGAAGATCGAGGATGAGGATGACCAGGGCTGGTGTCGGGGCAAGAAGCACGATGGCTGGGAGGGGCTTTACCCTGCCAACTATGTGGAAGTGGTATAGTCACCGAAAGCAGAATGGAAACGTAACAAGCATCATACTGCTGCTCTTTGCAGCCTGCTTCTGATCCGAACATCAGAAACATAAAGAAAATGCTTTCAAAATAAACACAGAGATGTCATAAATGAAAGCATGAGCCCGATTTGAGATATTTTTTAACATGCAGATTTGAAAGATTTTTACCTTCCTGAAGGATTGTAATGAATGTTTAATGACTATGATACATGCAAGTGTTTCCATTATGTAACCATAACAACTATATGCTGGAGTATAAAGTCACACTAAGACATTTGGCACTGAAGCTACAGGCCTGATGGTTTATTTTAACTTTCATTTCACGCTTTATCACAATGCTTTTTAGCTTTTGCTGTTCGAAGTATAGAAAAAACCAAACTTGATTTAAATTAATCTCAGTATACGTACCGATGAAGCCAGCAGTCTTCAGAAATATTGGAAGTTTAGCCGTCAGTTAAACAACAAAAAAAGGCTGATCATTATTCTATCTCTCTGCTCTGAACTCAGGAAGGAAGATAACCTCACATCTTCAGGCAAAATCCTTCTGACCCTAACTATCCTGATTTATAACTTGTAATACTCAAAGTGCCTTTCAGCTCGACTCTTTCACTTCACTGTTTAAACAGAAACAATATCATAACCCAGAATCAACTATTGCAGCTGTTACCGTTGTTTATCAATCACATACAAGCTTTCTGAGGATTTTACATATTTAGGAGATTCAAATGAAACAAATCTGTTCTTATATGAGCAGCCGAAGACAGGAGTTTTGGTCATTTGAAGAATTATCTCAAACATTTATATGTTTTTAAAGGCTTTTGGGAGACTTGTCCAATATTTGCAAAGCTGCAGATCATACTGTAGTGTTCAGCCTTCTTCATTCCTGCTGTAGTTCTCCTTGACATGCTGGACAGCAACTAAATCCTGATTTATGTTGAGCCATTCTGGTCTCCACAGAGTTGATCACAGTTTATTGGCTTCTTTTTATCTCATGTAGCTTTAGAGCTCATCATACTGTCCAAAGGGGGGGCATCACAGATCCAGCATTTAAAGATTCGGATCTTTATCTTTCCATTTCAACATGTCAATCTTTTCTTGGACAGTGGTGGCTTTTTTACTACTCTCCAACCAAGTGCACCAAAAATCACCTCCATAAAATGATGAGCAAGCTCTGCACTGGTGGTAACCTCATTTTTTGTGAACCATGAAGCCTTTAAGAGTGACTAAGCTTGAAGTTTTTGATGGTCTTGAAAACTTTTCTTCCATCTCCAACATCCTTCTTCATGTGAGGCCTTTAACAAAACAAAATGATGTCTACACAATTTCTGTGATGCCACAGAAGCAAACAGACCTCTGCTCCATAAATCCAAATGCTAATTAGAGTGAGATAATGAGCTGCATCACTTCTGCTGATGTTATGATCACAAAGAAAATAAGTCAGCAAATTATTTTAATTAGAAGCTGCAAAATGTTCAAAACACAATTGTGAGTTGCCTTAACTTTAATGAATGATGAGGCAGATAGAGGGTGAATGCGGTTTAAATGAAGAGCAGACAAGCTCAGTCTCTTTTTCATTATCTTAATGCATTAGATTCTAGGTGAAATGTTACAAACTTTTTAGAGATTAAAAGCTCCGGCTCTCGTTCTCTTTCAAGGCTCTGATCCTAATAATGGGCTTAACAAAATCCTTTGGATAATAAATCATGACAGCTTAGCTGTTTTTTTTATACCAACCAAGCCAGACTGAAGCTCTAGGAGAGCAGCAGTACAACAGCTAACAGAAGAGTTGGAGGTTTGATCACTGGCTCACAATGATCACCAGAGCTGCACAAACAATCAGGCAGGATGTCAAAATGTGCAGCCTGCTGTCTGCAAAGATGTGTCATTATCTGGGCATGCAAACAAAATCATAAGTAAAGTATAAATGTATCATCTACAAGAGACTATCTTTACCAAAGTAAGTAAACGTTTGTTTACCAACCCCTCTAGTCTTTTATATGTTCTTTATTTTTAATTGTCCTGTTAAAAAAACTATACATATGCAAACTTTTTGTCTTTTGGAAATAAACTCACTTGTAAAATAAAAAACAAAAAACAGCAGCATTTATTTTGAGTATAAGTGTGTGTGACAGAAAAGGACAGCGTGAGCGTCTGTGCAGTGGTGAGTTTGTGAATCATGCTGCAGGTACCCTCAGGACTCTCTGAGCACTGCCTGTGGTTTTGACAAACACACAACGAGAAGATCACAGGACTGCCGACACTGAGCAAGACATCCCACAAAATTGCAAAACGACCGTCAGCCAAATAACCTGCCAGCGTTTGTGTTCAGGTGAGCCAAAGTGACGCTGTGTTGACATGAATTCACACAGAAGACAGAAGCAAAGGAAAGCTTTTTTTTCTTTAAGAAACAGAGACGATGATTTTCCCCTGGAAGGAATTTTCACATTTCTTGACAACTTTGTTGCTTCTTAAACACATTTTAAAGAGAAATGAATATTGAATAAGTATGGAAGCCCATTTCTGCCACTCTGTAAAAAAATATAAAAGGAATTATCTCATTATAATGAGCTACTATCTCAAAATATTGAGATAGTAGCTCATTATAATGAAATAGTATCTCAAAATAATGGGATAGTAACTAAAAATGATGAAATACTACCTCATTATAATGAAAATTATAATTTTCATCTCAGCTTTTGGTGTTTTTTATAAGTACCATACCACATGAATGCAACATTTAATTTTTTGTTATGTGAGCCAAAAATAATTCAGGCAAAAGTCAAAGGGAGCCAAAATAAGATAAAAGATGAAGCTTAAATCAGAGAAAATTAAATGAGATAGCTACGAACAGAGAAAGAATAAAAAGAATAAGTACTTTGTTACCTTACTTAACTCTTTAAAGCCCGATCCAAGAATAAAACAAAACAGAAAATTACTTTTTTTTTGTTTGAAGTCCTTATTTGGCCTTTTAACAAAATATGTAAAAAGAAAAAACAGAAATCCTTTTTTGATATTTATAATTTATTACAATGCGATAAGTCAAGATTATTTTCTGTGTAGTCTTCTGCCCTCTGTTATCAGGTATATCTGATTGTGTACAATAGGATTTTGAGCAAAGTTTTTACCATTAAATTATGCAAAAGGTGTCAGACGCAAAACATTTCAGAAACCGTATGTATCAAATATGATACATTTGGCATTACAGGGTTAAGTAGATATTTTTAAGTATATAAGTATATATATTTTTATATTTATACCTCTATCTATAATTATTTTTTAGACAACTTTTTGCTTCTACTTCTCACATTTTTTTAGTCACAACTGGCTCCTCTAGTTATTTCACCTCTGTGTAAATAAGAATTTGACCAAATTGGACAAAAAACTCTAATTTTGAAACATATTTAAACCCTATAAGGTTTCTGTTACACATTTTTCAATAGAAAAAATACAATAAAAGGCTCCTTTTAGAATGAAAAATTGGAAATTAAAAGCGTGAATGGGTTCTATCAAACTTGCCTTCTAATAAGGGTTTCGAAAATGTTTTTTGTGTTTTATTTTTTCTTTATTCAAAGTTGAAATGTGTTCTTTAGAAGCATCGGTTGGACCAGTCTCTGGAACCCAATGGGCTCTTTGGATCTTAATAATGGTTAAAAATATTAGAGTAGACACTGATGTTTTTGATGCAGTACAAGAAGAAATTGTAGTCTTAGATGCTTCAGCAGGTTTTTCATTCATAAATTCAGAATATTAAATGCATATTTATAACAGAATAACATTAAAAGAAGCTGAAATATGTTTTAAGATCTATTTTTTGGTCACCAGCTTGAAACCAGCTTGTGTTTTAGTTTTTTTAACATAATTTTCCAAAAACAACATACATTCGAAAATCAAAGCTTTCTATTTATGAGTCGCTTTTTTGTATTAGTTTAGCTCAGAACCTAAAAATGAGTGGTGGGCCAATATTGCCATTAATGGCTATGTTAATGCCAGACTCTTCTCAGGCAATAAAAAAATATCACTGTTAATCTATTCTCACTGTTGGGTTGGGAGCTGGGTCTATACCACGGGTGGGCAATTCTAGCTCCTGGCGGTCGGTATCCTGCAACTTTAAGATGTGCCTTTGGTTCATCACACCTGAATCAGGTAATAAAATGATTAAAGGAATAGTACACCCAAAACATGATTAGCCTTCATTTTCTACTCACCCCCATGCTGAACAACACTCTGGAGTACTTTTTTGATATCTCAAATGCATCTGGAGATCTGGGAGGCTTCTTGCTGTCTGCTGACATTCAAATAATGGAGGTCTATGGCGCCCGAGGCAGAAAGGTCCATAAAAGTCCACAAAAAACGTGTCAATATTCCTCCATACTGCTCGTCCAATGTATTCCAAGTGTCCTGAGTGGGTAGCGTCCATAATTTACTCGAAACAAAGTCATTTAGAATGTTTTTAGAGCATAAACAGTAGTGTATAGGATTTCCTAAAAGCGCGTTCACGAGTCTACGGAAACCGCGGCAGACCAAACCAGACGAAAGTGCGCATTCAGCTCGGCAAAGAACTCATGCTCTTCCTCAACACTGAAGTCCTCAGTAGTGTTAATTTCGTTAACGAAAACTAAACGAAAATATTTTCGTCAACTCACATTTTTCACCCAACGAAAACTAGACGAGACGAGACGAAAATCCCCACTAATGAACAATAACTGGGAGTAAATCAGAAATATTTTTCGTTGACTAATAAAGACGAGACGAAAATGCAGTTTGGTAAATAAAGACTGGACTAAAATCTATGGACATTTTAGTTCACGAACAAAGACGAGACGAAAATTACATATTATTATTTTATGGTTTTTTTCAAATCCTATCTCCTGCTCCACCTCCTCCTTGTCAGCTCCCACACACCCACTTTCAAACCTGGAGCGGGCGGCACAGAGTAGCCTACTCTGGGGCTCGGGAGAAAGAGGAGACGTGATATATGGACACATTTTCACTTCATTGAAGTGGAGAACAAAACCAAATGCTTGATTTTAGTCGAAGGGAAGGAATGTGGCCACATGCTAGCTGGAAAAAACACAACCTGAAGAGACACGTCGCAGTTCAACACCAAGACATTACGGTAAGTTAACAGAAATATTGGTGGTGGTTGTTTATAATGTAACATTAATCAACAGCAATAATGTCCTAATGATAAACTAACTGATGTTGGCTAACTTTCATAGCATTTAGTATCAAGGCTGGCTATGTTACGTTAGCTTGTTAGCACGTAGCGACCGTAGCCACTTGTTGATAGAACTTAGATATGTTATACTGGCCGGGCAACTATAGTTTCAGTTACATTGCAAGTTTGATTAAAGCAGACATACGCTTTAGGTAAACTAGGAGCAGCAAGGTAACTATAGTTAACACAAAACACCTCGGCAGCTACACATGTATGCTAAATGCTAAAACCAACTGAAACTATCGGTCTTTGACAGTGTGTATCAGGATAAGAAAATTAAAATAATATGCCACACATAATTCAGAACACATTTAACCTAGATTTTCATACACAAAATAGCCATTGCTAGGGGAACCACTGCAGGGATTTTGATGCAAACATCAATATTAATCAATATTAATACAACCAAAATGCATGCACACATAAAAATGTCTGCAATTTATTCCTGCATAAAATGATAGTTACGGTAGGTTGTTTGTATGAGTTTGAAATGGATTGTCAAATGTAGTTTTTACAGAGACTTAGTTTTTGTTAAGGAAAAAAAAGAGACCTATATGCTACTTATACACTTGGAATTCCTGTTATGCTGTGCATCTATCCTGACATTGTATTAATTTCTGTTCCAGATTGAAGATACACCGACCACCAACAACCACCCAGAAACAATGACAGGCCAGCTATACAAGCTTCCTTAATTGCCCACACCAAATACAAAGCTGACTCTCAGGACCAGCAAGCTATGCCTTGTTTCACATAAATACGGTACCTTTATAAACCATGTGAACTAGCTGGCAGGAAAGCACTTTTGTTGTATCAGTTGGAGTTATTTTTTTCACATCATTGATCTCAAATCTATTTATTTCTATCTATTTATTTTATTATTCTATGTGAACTAGCTTTAAACAGCCAGCACTTGTGTTAAGTTCATAAAACACTTTATTTTATTTATTTGTTTCCTTTGTCAGGTGTATTTTATTTGTTTTAATGCAAGCATTTGTGTTTGTGTCTTTAAACCTTAACAATGTTCAAAATAAATATGCAAATATTGTCAGAACATCTTCCATGTCTGCATTTGTTCCTTAAAATAGTGGGGGGGGGGTTTATCAAAAAGATGAGAGAAAATGTTGAAATGTGAAATCATTTTAGGAAATGTTAAATATTATCTGCTGACAAAAAAGTAAAAGGTTAAAATTATGTCCTGACTAAAACTAGACTAAAATGTTGACGGTTTTTGTTGACTAAAACTAAACTAATAAAATTATGTTTTCTTGGACTAAAATAAAGACTAAAATGCTCGACTTATAGTCGACTAAATCTAGACTAAATAAAAATGGGATGATGTCGACTAAATGTGATAAAAACTAACAAGCGATGCTGAAACTGGACTAAGACTAAAACTAAATTTAAAAATGGCTGCTAAAATTAACACTAGTCCTCAGACATTTTTCTTTCATTGTTTCTTTCTTTGCACAGGTAAACAGCACATTTCTTCTTCTACGCTTGCATTATCGGCAGAGCAGACGCTGAATGCGCACTTTCGTCTGGTTTGGTCTGCTGCGGTTTCCGTAGACTCGTGAATGTGCTTTTAGGAAATCCTATACACTACTGTTTATGCTCTAAAAACATTCTAAATTTTTTGTGGACTTTAATGGACCTTTCTGCCTCGGGCACCATAGACCTCCATTATTTGAATGTCAGCAGACAGCAAGAAGCCTCCCAGATCTCCAGATGCATTTGAGATATCAAAAAAAGTACTGCAGAGTGTTGTTCAGCATGGGAGTGAGTAGAAAATGAAGGCTAATCATGTTTTGGGTGTACTATTCCTTTAAGAGGACTTTGGAGGAACTGACTGCATCCTGAGGAGGTAATTTAGCCATTTGATTCAGGTTTGTTGGGCCAAGGATGGATCTAAAAGTTGCAGGATGCCGGCCCCCAGGAACTGAAATTGCGAATCCCTGATCTATACTAATGATGACTTTCACCTTGATATTTTAGCGAGGATGTATATCTGAGGGCAAGAACGAATCAGTCTTGGAACCTGTGTAGGCATATTTTGAAATTACTACATTGAATGTGACGTGCTGTTGGAGCCTCTTAAGAATTAGACTAATTTCTTTTTTGCTAAAATATTAATATCACAGATCTAAGGATATGTGAATGGTAGATTTATTGTTGTTTATTTATTTATCTTAATTGACCCTCCTTCTTGTCAGTCCGCCTCCTGCAGTGATTAACAAGCAGAAGCAGCTGCTGTGGTTAATCTGATCGTTTGGTGAAGTAGTGAGGAGTGAAACAGTTTTTCTACCACCAATTAATGTTTATATTAAAATTTTTTGTAAGTCAACTTGGAGATTATTTCTGTTATTTTCATAAGTAAAAAAAAACACCAACTGAAACCGGAAAACTCTCGAAGTGCTTTTTATGAGTGAGTCAAAAAACTCCTCCTAAAAACTACTCTGGCATAGAAACAAGTAGAAAAACTTCACGGATGACTTGAAGAAAAGCGCAACTTTGTGGGATCCAGCCAATAACTCGCAGACGAACAAAGAAAGCAACCAGCAGGCTGTGAGTAAAATCCACTGATTGACAGTGGTGTCAAAAGTACACACATTTGTTACTTAAGTAGAAGTATAGATATTGCAGGTTAAGAACACTCTGGTAAAAGTTGAAGTAACAACTTGACCTCTTTACTCAAGTAAAAGTGAAAAAGTATGTGCTCCAAAAACTACTTAAAGTATAAAAGTATCAAGTAACCTTTAAAAAAAAACTGCCAGATGCCACTATATGAATTGAAAGCTGATTTTTTCAACTATTTAGAAAAATTCTTTGAGATAGGGCCAAGGATGAGGGAGGTCTTGTTGGTCTCCGTCTCCATCGATACACTCTCGTCTGTGTCCGACCTTTCAGACATTTCAACATCTTTTTCTCAATCCGACATTGTAGCATGGCATAGACAATTCGCATTTGATTATTTCCTTTACAAACCAATGAGTGTTTGCATTATATGACTCATCGAATTACTGTACACTAGTTTTCACTAGATGTGGATGGAGCCGATGATCTGCATTGAATGGCGCACATGACGTGAAATAAATATTTATAAACATTAAACCGAAGCCAAGAGTAACGAGTAACGTTTGTTTTAAAAATGTAAGCAATAGAAAGTATAGATACTTGTGTGAAAATGTAATGATTAGAAGTCAGAAGTAGGAAGAAAAATAAGTAATGGAGTCAAGTATAGATACCTAAAAAGTGTACTTAAGTACACTAATGAAGTATTTGTACTTCATTACTTGACACCTCTTCTGAATGACTTTATTTATGAAAGCGCCGCCGTTCTGCAGAGAAACAACCGAACACCACAGAAAGCAAAGTTTTTGATTTTGGAAAAGGATTGTGGCAAAGAAGGATGTTTGTTGATGAACTTTTTTTAAAAGTAAAGGGATGTGTGTGATCATTAATGATGTCTGACCCTGAAACTCCGCCTGCATCTGAGAACATGTTAAACATGGAATCAGCTATAAAAATGGCAGGTTTCTTTCAGGGAAAATGTATTGAACAGGTTTCTCAAGCCATCTGGGTTGAGAAACCTGTTCAAAGACTTTTATTTATTATTTAGGTAGCAAACGCATATCATGAATTGCTTTAGCAGAATCCAAATGAATGATTTTAATCTAGATTAATCTAGATTCATTCCAAGATTACAGTGAAATTAATCTAGATTAGAAAAAAATGATGCCCACCACAACCAAGAATACAAATAAACCATTTTAAACATCCTGTAGCAGATATTCAACACAAATAATGAGTTTTATCCAAAGGTCATTTATTACTTCCAGCTTGAAGCAACTTTTGTTTAGCTGGACTCAGAAAAATGGCTCCTTGGATTTTAAAGGTTGCAGACTATAATAAAAAAGCTTGCTTGTCGGGGCTGAGATGGGCAAGGCAAGTTCATTTTTACACCGCATTTGCAACCATTTAATTCAAAGTACTTTACAGTACGTAATGTAACCATAAGTACAAAGCAGGGGAATAATGAAGGAGGTGGTGATCAGGGCAGATTTGGGTGAAAATAACTTAAAATAATTGTATTTTTTAAATGATATTGTGATCATATTTTAATATCAAAATGTGAAGATAGCCATAAGACGATGGGTTTATATCAACCCTGGACTGCAGCTACTGCTAACTGCTCACAGTGCTACTTTGCTCCACACTTTCACTGCTCGTCTTCCAGCACCTCTAAAAAAACAGCTGTTTTCAGAGAGGCCTGCAGGACCCAATCATGCTTCCAAACATATATTATTGCTGTAATCTATAGTTAATATCTAAAACCAGCAATCCATATTATCCCTGTTATTTTGCATGTTTTCTATAATAAAAATCATGCTGCAGTAAAGTGAATTCTCTTGTAAATAAAGCAAAGCTTAAAGGCCATTAGTCTTATTTCACTGCTGATTGAATTTAAGGAACTTTGTAGTGAGTCTCTAGTTATCTTATTTTCAACAAGCAAAAGGAGAACTGTCATCCACAGTGATCACACTCCTCTTTAAAGAGGCACTGGTTCGTTTTATAAAGTGAAACCTGCTTTGATGGAGGCAATTGGTCTTGATACTTTGATGAATAAAGCAAAACAGGCCAAGATGAGAGGAGACGAATAAGTTATGAGCTTCCAGCAGAGATTTGATTTGGCAGCCTCAGTGCTTGGCCACTTAGACACAAAGCTTGTAATTGGTGATGCAGAAACTTGGTCTGATTCCAGAGCTTGGTCTCTTTTTTTTTTTTTTTTTCTAGTACATTACTAAGAGCTGAAGGGGAGCTTTCTGCTTTAGCTGGTTAACAAGAAAGAAAAATACCAAGTTTACATCATGACATTTGCTGTAAATAAACCACTTTTCAATGCAAAGCGGCCACCACATGCCACGCTCTGTGATGCTCTTCGCTCATTAACTCTTCCTCGCCCTGTTGGGGAGGCAGAATGTAAACACGCCATTATCACACTCCCGTTTGTCTGTGAAAATAATGAGAGAGAAAAAACCCTTGCATGCTAATGGCTGCTTTGTATTCAATTAGATGGCATTTAGCTTCAGACATTTCATAGCTGATTTCATTGAGGTCAACATGTGGACACCCAATTACAGACCAGAACCTTATTTGTAATGCACAACTTTACATCGCCTCTAAAAACTATTCAAAAGAATTAACCTTTTTATGTAAGACATCAATGCTAGGTAGAGCAGACTTTTTAATTTGGATACAAAAGAAAATGATAAATAACTTTTACTTTAAAATGTAATTTTAAAACGTTATCTCTTAAAAATAAAATAAACTTAAAACGTTTCTATGTATTTGCTTTTAGCCTTCTTTACTCTGAGACCACTAAATACAGCCCAGTGCAACCACTTCCATTTAAAGGGGCATAGTCGCCCTTTTTAAAAACCTATATGCTAATAGTTCAATCTGGTTAAGAAATTTTTTTTTTAAGTTTTTTTTTTTTTAAAGATTACTGCATCCAACTGGCATGTTTATGTGTTTTACTCTTAGTTTCTACTTATCTTGTTATTAAATAAAGTGCTTTTCATGTAGAGGTACTATCCATTATAAGGAAGTAATAGGGCATCATTTTCTCACATCAAAGCAGAGGTGAGAAAATAGGATGGATGGATGGATGGATGGATGGATGGATGGATGGATGGATGG